AGGGGGGGGAGAAGGGAGAGGAGGAGGAGAGGAGGAGGAGGAGGAGGAGGAGGAGGAGGAGGAGGAGAAGAAGGAGAAGAAGGAGCAGGAGCAGGAGGAGGAAGATGAAGAGGTGGAGAAGGACAAGGATGAGGAGGAGGATGAGGGGGAGGAGGAGAAGGAGGAGGAGGAGGCGGAACAAGTTTGTGTTGTTGATGACGAGGAGGAGGAAGAGGAGGAGGATGTGGAGGTGGAGGAGGAGGAGGAGGAGGAGGAGGAGTAGGAGGCGAAGAATGTTGAAGAGGAGGAGGGGCAGATTGAGGAGGAGAAGGACTGCACACCCAAGGCTCATCAACGATGTTTGAATCATCCCTCCCTCCAAGCTTCCCCTTCACAGGCCCCTACAAGGAGCCATTTCCACCCAGGGGAGTGAGCCATTGGGAGTCAACCGTTTAAAGATCCTGAAGCGTGCCGAAGCGTCGGCCTCGGGGTTTTAACGCCACGAATCAATTTGACGATTGCGGTTCGACGATCCTGAATCGTACTTGAACGTTGCTCTTGCGACTTTCACACCGCGAATCAACGCAGCTGTCGCGCACCGACAAGTTTGAATCACTCCAAAACGCCAATTCTGGTATGCTACCCATGGGGACCCGTGAAACGTGTGCAACCAGTCGAGACGAGTGTGCGCGGCGGTAAGGCGAGAGCCGCATTTTGGAAAAGGAGCCGCCATCAATCCGTGAAACGATTGTAACCGTTTCAAGACGAATGCGCACGGCGCTAAGGCGAGAGCCACCCTCTGAAAACGGCCCGCCCTCAGTCTGTGAAGCTCTTGCAGATTCTTCAGACGAGTGTGCGAGCCGCCGAGGCAACAGCCACACTTTGAAAACGGCCCGCCCTCAATCCGCGAAGTTTCTGTTTCTGCCATTTTGTATAACGAATGCGCGTGGCGCTTAGGCGAGAACCACGTTTTGGAAGCGGCCCGCCCTCCATGTGTAAGATTCCTGCCAATCTTTGAGCTCAGGATCAAACATGGTAGGGACGTCTCAGGCGAAACGCCCCGCCCGCCCTTCCGAGCGACCTCGGGCGCAACATGGAAGAGCTACTTACCAGGAGAAGGAATCGACATAAGGAGGAGGAGGAGGAGGACCAGTGTAAACCCAAGACCCATCAACGATATCGCAGTAACCCCTCCCTCCAAGTTCCTTGCTCACAAGCCCCAACAACTTCCAACGGTTTGAAAATCCAGAATTGTGCCAGAGCACCATCAATCGGATTCCAACGCCGCGAATCAACGTTATTGTTGCGTCATGACGATCCAGACTCGTGCCAAAGCACCGTTCGTTGGACCTCAACACCGCGAGTCAACTTGACTGCTGCTCCCTGACATCCCGACTTCGTGCCCCCATGATAACCCTCGAAATTGCTGCAAACTCTTAAGACGAATGTGCGCGGCGCTCAGGCGAGAACCACATTTTGAAAAGGAGCCGCCCTCCACCCGCTAAGCTCTTCCCATGTGTTCAAAACGAAGGCGCGCGGCGCGAAGGCGAGAGCCAGATTTTCAAAACTGCCCGCCCTCCATCCGTGAAGCTTTTGCACACGTTTACAACGGATGTGCGAGGCGCGAAGGCGAGAGCCACATTTTGAACACGGCCCGTCCCCCATCCGTGACATCGTGTCAAATTTATACTTGGTGAGGAAGTCTCAAGCGAAACGCCCAGGCCGCCCTGTCGACCGGCCTCTGTTGCGGCAGGGAGGAGGCATTGAAAAGGACGAGGGATGGAGGAGGAGGAGGAGGAGGAGGAGGAGGAGGAGGAGGAGGAGGAGGAGGAAGGGGAGGAGGACGAGGGATAGCGCGAGGACGAGGACGAGCAGGAGGAGGAGGAGGAGGAGGAGGAGGAGGACTGTAAACCCAAGGCCCATCAACGATGTTGGACGAGGGATGGAGGAGGAGGAGGAGGCGGAGGCGCAGGAGGAGGAGGAGGAGGAGGAGGAGCAGGAGGAGGAGGAGGAGGAGGGGGGGGTTATAGGGGGAGGGCGAGGACGAGGACGAGGGGAGGAGGTTGAAAAGGAAGGGCGGGGCAGGAAAATGGTGATGATGATGAGGAGGAGGAGGAGTAGGCGGTGGTGGTGGTGGTGGAGCTCCCTAGCGACCAAGGTCGAATGGTCGGAGGAGAAGACTGGGGTTACCCCCTCACTCACGCCTCGGCACCCCACAACTGGGGGGCGCCAGCGACAGTGCCCGTCGGCAGCTGTCGGCGCACGGCCGCAACACACGCTGCTGCAGCACTTCAAAGCAATAACAAATCATGCAAAACCTCTAACTGCTCCCTCACTGCACCCTGCTCCCTCGCACATGCACGACATACACCAACAAAACTCCTCACTTCCACCAGCGCCTCACATGCCCCATGAGCAAATGCAGCACAAGCTTCAGACAGGCATACCACATATGTCGACAAACAGCACGCCGCAAGCGAGCGAGTAGTACAGGCAGACCAGACACAACACGTGTCGCCGATCACGCCGTCGAGCGAGAGACCGAGGTACGACTGCTCCTGACCTGCACCAGAGACAAGTACCTTATGCCGATGACCACCCGCCACTCGACCACGACAGCACCCGCCCACAGCACCCAAAAAAATCAGGCACATCACATAATGTCGCCCATATCAGTCACGAGCACGTCTCCGACCAGTAGTCACTACTGTGGGGTCAGCATCTTCTGCCCCTCCACCTCGAGATACCCCGCAGGACGCGGGCCCGTAAACACTTCAGCCCCCACATGCTCATATAGGATAGCGACGATGACCTGCTCGAGCTGCTTGTCGGCGATCGTTACAATCAAACGGCGCAGCTTCGAGTCGAACATCTTTTCAGTTCTGAACAAGCGAATCAAGAGCTGCGCCTGAAGGGAGCCTGGGACGAAACTGTCCATGCATTTCCGTACGATGGCCTGCTGCTCAGCCGACCCCTTGGTCCCGAGCGCGAGCGCCGCACCTGCAAATTGAAACGAATCTGGAGCACCGAGCTTGTGGCCCTTCTGGCCCTTCACCCGCGGCAAGTACTCCTGGTCGTGAGCGCTTTTCATACTCACATAAACTGCGTCCTCCACGTTCAAAGAGAACTGATACGTCACAGCGGCTTCCAGGAGCCTCGTACGTTGAGCACTGATCACCCCTAGCTTCAGCGCCACTTCGGACTTGGCCTCCGTCGACGAAGCCAGGGCCACACGCTTCGCCCGAGACGAGTACTCTGCCGCAGCTGCTGATGCCGCAGGCTTCTCTACCATTTTGCCGAAGAGGGTTCCCCATTGCTGCTGCATCTTCAGAGAAGAAACTTTTGTGCTTCTAGTGGAAGGTGTGCTCGAATATGCCAGCGAGCCGACACATAGCTACTGAAACTCAGATCACATACCTCACAAGCATACGGAGGGCTGGTGGTATGACTGTGTTGAACCGCAGAACCCTTGGACCGAGGACACTTACCAAGTTCAAGACTCTTTTCCAGGTGAGAGCTAGCATACCTTTTGGTGGTATATATGTTGCCACACAGAATACATGCATTGCTGATAGTAACAATTCGAGCAAGAACTCTAAGCCCATGATTGGGCTGCCGAGAATTAGCTTGATGTAGCAGTAGTTGCCTGTTAGTCGGGAACGAGGCCCCACAGACTCCCTCCGACTCCCCAAGACTGAGATCGCATTTGAAGTCACCCACAGACGGAGGAGGAGGAGAAGGAGGAGGAGGAGGAGGAGGAGGAGGAGGAGGAGGAGGCGGGGGAGGCACCCCAGAAGGAGGAGGCACCCCAGAAGGAGGAGCAGAAGACGAGGACGAGCCCCCAGGCGCCCCCGAGGTCCCAGACGGGGCGCCGATCTCAGCCTCGACAGGCGGAGCTATCTGTTTTCCTGTGTACTCGCTGTACAATATCTGCGGGTCAGCCGAAAGAAACTCTGTGCGCACATCCACTGAACAAAACAATGCCGCAGGATAACGCTCGACTTCAGCCGCAATATCGGCAAACTCGGCTACCCGAGCAAAATCCTTAAAGTCTGCGAGAAATTGTGTCCACCATTCGCTAGGCCTCCCATTAAGATACCCCTCCCAATCCACGAACTTATTTTCTTCCCATTCAGCCTGACCAAACAGAGCTCCTATCACCTGTAAATTACTGAGAGGCCAGCGCACAATATTTTGCATCCACTTCAGCCTCTGCATGCGGAGCCGCAGGGACACAGGGCACAGCCTCAGCTGACAGTAAATGTCGTGCGTGGTTCTCGCTTGATATTTCATCCCATCCTCCATCTCCTCCTTGATGCACCCCTCCCCCTTCATCACACGACGAGCAAGAATCGCTTGAACCCCATCCAAGCGTGAGCAGCAATCAGACGTCACCGCAAGTGAGACCAAGCCCGACGTAAGGGCGCCTTCGATAACAGCTTGGTACACAATACTCTTCCATCTCAAATTCGTACAGCTATGCCAGAACCGTCCCAGAAGCCCAAAACTTTGCCTCGCCTTTTTAATCCTGCGGGGATATTCATCACTGCAACTTCCGTCGGCACGTAAATAGGGACCCAGGTACCTGCAGCAACGATTCACGCGCCCAGGAACACTCTCACCAGTGCGCAGCTGCCATGACCCAGACGGCCGATCAAAGTAACCCCCAAAAACACGCCGCCGAGAGACATGGGGAGGAGTAGGCGGATGAGGAGGAGGAGGTGGAGGATGAGGAGGAGGAGGGGGAGTGTGAGGGTAGGACGAGGGCAGGGAGGGCATGGAGCAGAGAGGGCAAGGGATGAACATGAGGGGGAGGAAGGTGAGGGGAGGAGGGGGAGGAATAGGGGGTACGAATGTGGGAGGGGGAAGGAAGGGGCGTGCTGCAGCAGGAGAGAAAGCCACGAACCACGTGTCTTCTGATCCCTCGGCCCCGCCTATCGGGGCAACCGCGGACTCTACGTGATGGCCATGGAGCTGGTGGACTCGATGAACGGAGATGAGATCGACGCTATCTTGGAGGACGGCGTGGAGGAAGGATCAGCAGGAGACAGGAGAGGGGAGGAGGAGAAGGAGGAGGAGGAGGAACCAGACGCGACGGCTTCTGGTTGCTAACGGCGGAGTAACCAAAACGGGAGAGGGGGAGAAGGAGGGAGGAAGTCGAATTCGGAAGGAGTAGGAGGAGAAGGAGGGGGAGGAGAAACATGAGGAGGACGAGGAGCAGGAGGAGGAACAGCGCCTGAGCAGCAGGAGGAGCCCGAACAGGAGGAGGGAGATGACAGATCAGACGGAGAAGGATGATGTTGCTATTGGTGGTGATGATGACGACGACGGCGATGATGATGATAATGGTGATGATGGTGATGATGGTGATGATGATGATGTTGATGATCAGGAATATGAGGACGATGATGATGATGCTGATGTTGATGACGATGATGATGCTGATGATGTCGATGCTGATGATAATGATACAGACGGCGATGATGGTGGTGGTGATGATGATGGTGGTGGTGGTGACGGTAATGATGTGTGTTGATGATGGTGATGATGGTGATGGTGATGATGACGACGACGATGAGGATGGTGATGATGATGAAGAAGAAGAAGATGATGATGATGATGTTGATGTTGGTGTTGGTGACGACGGTGATGGAGATGATGATGTTGATGATGATGGTGATGCTGATGATGTGGATACTGTTGATGCTGATTATGATGCTGATGCTGGTGATGCTGACAGTGGTGATGATGATGACGATGCTGATAATGACGATGATGTCGAATATAATTTGAAGATGAAATATGAATACGATGATGAAATATAATGGTGACGCTGACGATGATGGTGATCATGACGATGACGACGATGATCATGGTGATGACTAGGGTGATGCTGATGCTGATGACGATGATGATGGTGATGATGATGCTGATGATGCCACTGCTGCTGCGATGATGATGTTCGTGATGATGGTGATGATTATGATCATGATGAGTATGATGATTATGATAATGATACTGGTGGTGGTGATGATGATGCTGCTGCTGATGATTATGATGATGATGATGATGATGATGATGATGATGATGATGATGCTGCTGCTGCTGCTGCTGATGCTGATGCTGATGCTGATGCTGATGCTGATGCTGATGCTGATGATAATGATGACGATTGTTCTAGAAGGAAGAGGAGAAGGAGGAGGAGGAGGAGGAAGAGGAGGACGAGGAGCAGAAGAAGAAGAAGAAGAAGGAGGCGGCAGCGGTGGAGGAGGAGGAGGAGGAGGAGGAGGAGGAGGAGGCCTCCAGCGGCCGTTCCCGGAGCGCTGTCAGCGAGGCGCAGCCGCTGTGCCGAGAACCGACGAGAGCGCCCGAAAGCCTCGAAGCTCGAGCCCCGAATGCTCGCTCCTCCAGCCTCGAACCTCGAACCCCGAGCCCAGCAAGCCTCGAGCCTCGAAAGCCTCGAGCACGTCGAAGCTTGAGCCTCGAGCCTAGCCGGAGGAGATGGGCACCAGCCTGGAGGCGGCGCGCGAGGGCTTGGTCGTGCCCGACGACGACCTGGACGCGGAGGAATGGAAGGAGCAGCTGAGGGCGGCCGACGACCGGAAGGCTCCCACGGGGCAGGAGGGGGGAGGAGGAGGAGGAGGAGGAGGAGGAGGAGGAGGAGGAGGAGGAGGAGGGAGGAGGAGGAGGAGGAGGAGGAGGGGGAGGGGGAGGAGGAGGAGGAGGAGGGGCCAGGCTTCCGAAGGTGTTCGACATGCCTTACCGTTCTTGGAGGTTGTCTCACCTCGGGATACTTTCCAGCAGCTGCGCCTCGTCGAGAGCTCTCCGCGGGTGCCTGGATCGTCCCGAACGGCCGCCGGAGGCCCGAGGTATGACCCGAAGACCAGACGCCGAAGAGGAGGAGGAAGAGGGAGACTGATTGATCATGTCGCTACGAAGCTAGGACAAGGAGGGGAGGGACAATGCCTGGAGTGTCCGAGCCACACGCGTGGAGTGGAGGAAGGGGGACAGCCCCGCCCACCACCGCACCAGACATTACCCCCCCCGACCCCATCGAAGCCTCGGACAGGGCACAGCCATAATCAGGGGATTGCAAACATGGATCAAGGGGGTGTGGATTAGCGACGGGTCCCGTTTCCACGGGAAATCGCGGATTCCCGCCGCCAAACGAGGCGGCCCCGGCCGCGTTTTGGGGAGGGCACCTCCCCAGATCCATGGATTTGGCGACCGCGCGCCAAATCCATGGATCGCTAATCCATGCTTGCGCGCCCCCGACAGAAGCACTGACCTCGGGGCCGCTCTGCACGCTGGTCTTCGCCAGCTTCAGTGGCAGCACCTGTCAGCCCACCTTTGCCTGCAACTCTGGAGGGAGAGGCCGCAGTCGGCCGCAAGGGTCACTACCAGTTACTGGCCTTCGTTCCTTACGCACCTCATCCCCCCCCCCCGCCTCCCCCATGGCGGCAGAGCAGCGAAGCAGGGGGGCAGGAGAGGAGACCGCTCCAGGTGCCGGCGGCGAAGCTCTCGGGTCGCACGCGCGAGGCTGCCGCCCGAGTGCCGGCGCTCCTCCCTTGGGGCGTGGGCGCTCCGCCTGGCCCGCTGCGTTGCCAGCTGCGCGCAGCCCTGCCCGACGAGCTCCTCGAACTGGACGGGCTGCAGATAAGTCTTCGAGCTGCACCGAGCTCGACGGGCTGAGCAGCTCCTCGAGCTCGACGGGCTGAGTAGCTCCTCGAGCTCGACGGGCAGGCTGTGCAGCCGCCCAGGCGTCCCGCCTGGGACAGAAGCAAGGGCGCCCTCGAGGGCGCGAAGTTATTCGCGCTTCGCGGTTCGGCTCCGATTCCTCATCCTCCTCATCCTCATCCTCCTCTTCGAGCTGCACCGAGCTCGACGGGCCGAGCAGCCCCTCGAGCTCGACGGGCCGAGCAGCTCCTCGAGCTCGGCGGGCAGAGGCTGTGCAGCTGCCTGGGCGTCCCGCCTGGGACAGACGGGGGCGGCGGCAGCGCCGAGGAGGAGGAGGAGGAGGTGGAGGAGGAGGAGGAGGAGGAGGAGGAGGAGGAGGAGGAGGAGAGGAGGAGGAGGAGGAGGAGGAGGAGGAGGGAGGGAGGAGGAGGAGGAGGAGGAGGAGGAGGAGGAGGGGAGGAGGAGGAGGAGGGGGGGAGGGGGAGGGGAGGAGGAGGGGACGGAGGAGGAGGAGGAGGGGAGGAGGAGAGGGAGGATGGAGGAGGGGAGGAGGAGGGGGAGGGAGGAGGAGGAGGAGGAGGAGGAGGAGGAGGAGGAGGAGGAGGAGGAGGAGGAGGAGGAGAAGGGGGAGGAGGAGGTGCAGGTGGA